TCATTGTTGTTTGGCGGGCCCGGGCTGGATCCGAACCCGCCACCTTAGATGTATGTGGCTGGCACCTTAGCCACTTGAGCCACAGGCACTGAGGCACCACTAATAAAATTGACTCACAATGGATAAAAGATTTAAATCTAAGACATGACATGATAAAAAATCTAGAGGAAATCATGGGAAAAACTCTTCTGGTCTGGGGAAAGATTTTATAAGGAAGACAGCATCAGCAGTGGCAACATGAACAAAAATAAATAAATGAGATTTAATTAAGCTAAAAAGCCTCAGCACAGCTAAGAACACAACCATCAAAGCAAATAGACAACCTTCAGAAGGGGAAAAGATATTTGTAAGTTACAAATCTGACAAAGAGTTGATGACTAGAATCTACAGAGAACTCAAATGAATCAACACAAAAAGCAAATGATCCCATCTATTGTTGGGCAAAAGACATGGACAGAACCTTCTCTGAAGAAAATAGGTGAATGGCCAGCACACACATGGAAAAATGGTCCTCATCCCTAATCATCAAAGAAATGCAAATCAGAATCACTTGAGATATCCCCTAATCCCAGTGAGAATAGTCCAACTCTCCAGATCTCAAAGCTGCAAATGTTGGCATGGATGTGGAGAGAAGGGAACACTTTTACACTGTTAGTAGGATTGCAAATTAATACAACCTTTCATATCATTTTCTTTTATTTTATAATTTTGTTTTCAATTGTTTTAGTTTGAATTTTTTTTTAATTTTTTTTCTTTCTTTTCTTTCATTTTTACTGAGACAGAATCTCACTTTGTATCCCTGGTTAGAGTGCTGTGGCATCATAATTCACAGCAACCTCCAACTCTTTGGCTCAAGTGATTCTCTTGCCTCAGCCTCCCAAGTAGCTGGGACTACAGGTGCCTGCCACAATGTCTAGATTTTCTTTTTTTCCTGCCACAACATGTCTAGTTTTTTTTTCTTTTCTTTCTTTTTTCTTTTTTTTTTTTTTTTTTATAGAGACAGGGTCTTACTCTGGCTCACGCTGGTCTCGAACTCTTAAGCTTAGGGAAGTCCACCCACCTCAGCCTCCCAGAGTGCTAAGATTACAGGCATGAGCCACCACACCTGGCCTCATATAGCCTTCATGGAAAGAAGTATGCAGAATCCTCAAAGAGCTAAATGTAGACATTCCATTTGATCTCACAATACCATTAAATCATTTTATCACAGGGACATTTGCATTAGAATATTTATTGCAGCTCATTTCACAATTGCCAAAACATAGAAGCAACTAAAGTACCCATCAACCCATGAATGGATTAATAAACTGTGGTATATGTATACCATGGAATACTATTTGGCTGTAAGAAAAAGTTGGTGACTTTACATCTTTTGTATTTATTTACCTGAATGGAGTTGAAACACATTTCTTTCTTTCTTTTTTTTTTTTGTTTTTTTGCAATTTTTGGCTGGGACTGGGTTTGAACCCACCACCTCCGGCATATGGGGTCGGTGCCTTACCCCTCTGAGCCACAGACACCGCCCGAAACACATTCTTCTCAGTAAAGTATCAGAAGAATGGAAATGCAAGTATCTGATGTACTCAATACTAATATGAATCTAAGAAAAACAACTACATGCCCATACAAGAGAATACCAAAAGTATATTCAAGAAGGGGTGGAGGAGGGAAAAGAGAAAGGAGAGGAAGGAGGAGGATTGGTTAAGCTCTCATGTGATAGACATGTTATAAGAGTGTACAGCACACCCCCCAGATGAAGGGCTCAACTGCTTCAACTACGTCTTGAACTGTACCTTAGAAACACAAACAATGTAACCTGATCATTTGTGCCCTCGTATTAACCTGAATTTTAAAAAATAAAATTTTTTAAAAATTGGGAAAAAAGCAAGGTGCTTATTTAGTCTTATTAATAAAGTTTTTTTTACTCCCAGTACAGAATGTCTTCTACATAGACCTTTCTAATAAATGATTTTTGAGTTAATGACTCTTTTTAGTTGTTGAAAAATGTTGCTGTTGTTATTCCCCATTTTAGTATCACATGTTTGTAAAAGTAAATCCTTTTTAATGATTTCATTTTTCTCCTAGTAAATTCCTCATCTATGCCTGTCTGCTGCTGTTCTCCGTGCTACTGGCCCTTCGTTTGGATGGCATCATTCAGTGGAGTTATTGGGCTGTTTTTGCACCAATATGGCTTTGGAAGTTAATGGTCATTGTTGGAGCCTCAGTTGGAACTGGAGTCTGGGCACGGAATCCTCAATATCGGTAATACTGCTTTATAAGGCCCGTTGATATCTACCCTGAGAGAGCAATATCTTGCTTTTTCTTACTTGTAATAAAGTAAGGACTATTTCCTTTTCTACATACCTGATGTTTTGTAAGAACTAAAGTACAAGCAAACTGACATCTTTTCTGTTTTTGAAAATTAGGTATTTGTTATGTATTTTCTTACAAAAGCAGTTTTATTCAGGATGGTTAAGTTCCCAGCCAGCCCACAAATGCCTCTATAATCTGAAATTTACCCAAAATACAAATTTATATGCTATACTAGACTAAGAAGCATGAAACCACCTTGCTTTTAAAAGGCATTCACAGTTTTAGCTTTGGTCATCAGGGATCTATCTTTCTGCAGTTCAGTTTTGGAATTGGGGCTTTGCTTCCCTCTCCACTCTCCTAGGCCCAGAGTTTGAGGATTCTTAGCAGTATGGATTGTGGCTTGACCAGGAGACGCTGAGTCCCTGAGACCAGAACTGGAGAATGAGGAAAGTTGAGCGCCACATGCTGAGAAGGAGAGCAGGGCCTTTAGGTGAAAGGGAGTAGGGTAACCTTACCTTCTCTAGCTCCCCACTGTTTTTCTTGGATGCCTTAGCTGGTCCAAATTCCTAGGAACAGGCTCACTCCAGTGTGCTGCCTGGTGCCTGGCATGGCTGGATCCTGTGAGAGTTTCCTTTCTCTCTTACAGAGACTCAAACTACATAAAGGAAAAAAGGTGGGACTTGAGAGGAGGAGGCTAGTCTAAACCTTAACCAGGAAGATGGGTAGTGCAGGAATGTTCAGTAGCCAGATAGGGACAGAAGGGGTGATACATTGAGCTGCTCATAAAAGTTAAAATTCTTGGTTATGACCTCTAAGAAAAAGTTAAATTTCAGATCCTATAAACTATGTATCACATATGTATCTAAGAACTATAAAACAGCTACACAGAGAGCCTTGGGAGATAAGGGACATTCATGTGTAGCTATTTTAAAGTTCTTAGATTTGGGTTTTTTTGGGGTTTTTTTTTTTTTTTTTTTGAGACAGAGTCTCAATTATGTCACCCTTGGTAGAGTGCTGTGGTGTCACAGGTCACAGCAACCTCAAACTCTTGAGTTTAAGCTATTCTCTTACCTCAGCCTCCCAAGTAGCTAGGACTACAGGTGCCTGCCACAATGCCCAGCTATTTTTTTGTTGTAGTTGTCATTGTTGTTTGGCTGGCCCAGGCTGGGTTCGAACCTGCCAGCCTTGGTGTATGTGGCTGGCACCCTAGCTGCTGAGCTACAAGTGCTGAGCCTTAGATTTTTTTGAAAGACTGATTACATATGTGGCTGTTCATCTTTTCATTTTTATGAGATATTTTCAGCTATCTAATGTTTCTGAAAGAATGTAGAGGTAATTAACTAAACGTTTTTAAGTTCCATTGGTCGATATTTAGAAGGTATTTGATCTTTTCTCTGTTGGTTTGATATTAGGTTTTTTGAGCAAGGAAAGGAGTCTGGTGGGTGGGTGTTGAATGTGCAGAAGTGGTTGTTCCAGTATTAACAGTAACTGATGCCGTACTTTTCGGTCCATAAGGATAACCTCTGACCTCATTTTCTCTATACCCTAAACTCAGGAATATTTATCACCGACATGCCATGTATATCTTAAATGTTCATATGTGTTTTAAAGAACATTATAAGGCTTTTCAAATGCATCAGAAAGCCTTTTTCTGGTTAGTGACCTTACCATTTTTCAGTTATTAAACTAGTAAGTTCATGCTTGAGACTTAAACAGATTTAGTTTAAGAACACTTTTGACTCTTTAATTAAACTGATTTAGTTTAAGAACAGTCTTAACTCTTCTGTTCTTTTCTTTCTGCAGGTGTTATTTATCCTAATGGAATAGAAAGGAAAATAAAAAGACATGTATACTTTTTATTCAGATTTTAAAATAGCACTTAACAATAGTTACTATATATTGGTGGAATATAACCAACACTTGTTCATAAAGCTAGAGTTATTTTATAATGTGGCATGAAATATGAGTAGTATGGTTTTTAATTCATTGAGAGATGGGGATCATGAGACTTAAAAGGTATTTGTCAGTTTCTAGCAATAGAAGCAATCAGCTTGAATAATTTTTGCAGTAGCTCTTGTAGTTGAATTTAAAGATACGACAAAACCGTTTATGTACATTATATGGAAAATAATAACTGTGGCTATTACTTCTGAGAATATCCTTCTAAAGTTAAGGCATTAAAAGTCTAGTTTGGTTGTAACATGCATTTCTTGGCATGTAGTAGTTCTTGATGTTTGCCTATTAAAGATTAAGTTTAACTTAGCTTTATATCTGATTTTCCTTTTCTTTCTGTCAAATTTACAAGTAAAATTCAAAATATCAATGTAAGTTATTGGCCCTCAATATATCTTGCTGATAATGGAGATTCTGAACTGTTTCTTCTTCTTCTTCTATCCCTTTTTAGAGCAGAAGGAGAAACATGTGTGGAATTTAAAGCCATGTTGATTGCAGTGGGTATCCATTTGCTCCTGTTGATGTTTGAAGTTCTGGTCTGTGACAGAATTGAGAGAGGAAGCCATTTCTGGCTACTGGTCTTCATGCCCCTATTCTTTGTTTCCCCGGTGTCTGTTGCAGCTTGTGTATGGGGCTTTCGACATGACAGGTCACTAGAGGTGAGATTTCATATATTTAACAATATTTTCAAAAGCAAAATCTTTGGTCAGTTATTTGAATATCATTTTTTCCCCTTTGTTAGCAAGAGATTCATCATTAATCCTAGATTGTGGGATATAAAGTAACAAAAGATGACAGAAATCGTTTCTTTTTCTTGAATTAGAACATTGGCTTTTCAGTCAGGCTATCAGCCTTCTTCTAGCTTCACAGTTTTCCCTGTCCACCTGCATCAGTCAGGCTTTTCCAGAGGAACAGAACAAATAGGGTAGATGAAGATAAAGAAATTTATTTTAAGGAACTGGCTCCCATGATTGTGGGGCTGACAAGTCTGAAATCTATAGGGCAGGTGGGCACACTGGAGATCTGGCAAGAGTTGATGCTGAAGTCCTAAAGCAGAATTTCTTCTTCCCTAAAAGAACTCAATGTTTGCTCTTAAGGATTTCAACTGGTTTGGTAAGGGCCACACACACTATTGAGGGTATTTCATTCAAAGTCAGTATCATCACGGGAACACCTAGCTTAGTGTTTGATTGAGTAACTTGGTACTATAGTTCAGCCAAGTTGATACAAAACACTATCTCTGCACCTCAGACCCCATGATCTAACTCCTCACCTGCTCACTGGGTAGCTTATCCCAGTGTGCCCATGGATTCATTTACTCAGTAAACATTTATGAAGTATTTACTATATGCCAACCCTTTTTTTGCCTAAGCAGAGGGGATACACAGATGAATAAAATATCAGAACTTAGTAGTACTGGCTGGCTCCTGTGGCTCAGTGGGTAGGGCGCCAGCCCTATATACCAAGGGTGGTGGGTTCAAACCTGGCCCCAGCCAAACTGCAACAAAAAAATAGCTGGGCATTGTGGCAGCTGCTTGGGAGGCTGAGGCAAGAGAATTACCTAAGCCCTGGAGTTGGATGTTGCTGTGAGCTGTGACACTACGACACTCTACTGAGGACAGTAAAGTGAGACTCTGTCTCAAAAAAAAAAAAAAAAAAAAGTAGTACCAATACTAGTAATGAAAATAATTACAGATAACATTTATTGAGCACATACTGTGTGCCAGATATATCACATACAGTAGTATCTTATTACATATTTGCAGCCCTGTGAAGTAAGTACAGTAGTTTTCCAGAGAGGGTAATTTGTTCATGACCACACATTAAGAGGCAGGGTAAGGACTCCATTGCAGTCGGCCTGACTCCAAAGCCAAGTACAGAGGCTGAGGGCCTAAAGCCTAATGTCCTAATAGGTTGAGGGAAGAACTAGAGCCAATAGATAGGGATAAAGTACAGGGAAAAGAGACTATAATTGGGTTGGAAGGGAACATAGGAGCCAGAAGGTGGGTCGGGTATGTAAGCTTTGACCCCAGGTACAGGCCTGAAGGGAAGGTGCCCAAAGAGAGGATGGTGATAGAGCAAGACCCTGTAGGACCCAGAGGGAATGAGACCCGAGCACCGAGAAGATCTTGCCTTTGAACAGGGAGAGGGATTCCTTGACTTTTGGTGGAAAGGCCATGGTATGGGTGTGGCTAATAGGTAGGGGTGGACTATGCTTGGAGGATGGCAACTTTCACTCTCCCTACAATTCCCATTTTATATCAGGAACTTAGCACCTATAGATTTTGGTATCTGGGGAGTTCTGGAGTCAGTCCCTCATAGATGCCACAGAACAATTATACAAGGACTAGGACTGTACTGGGCATGAGTTGCAGAAAGTTAGTCTTTCTTATAGTCATAGTCTTGGTATTCTTAGCAGGGAAGAAACAACATGCTGGGAGTTGAGTTCTCTCTTCTGTGGCATAAGAACAGTGCCTACATTGGCAGGAAGGTGACCGGGAGTTGACTTGCACAGAGATGGGAAGCAGTAGTTGGGGTCTGCTGGCAAGCCCTATGTTGAGAGGGAGGAGATGGCATTTTTCAGGCACTTTCAGAGGCAGGAAGAAACCAGTCAGTTCCATGAACTATGCTGTTTTGACCTGACTGGAGCATACGGTAGAATAGAGGGAGCTGCGGGAGTTGAAGAGGAAAGAAGCCTCTACAGAAGGCCTCGGCTGAGCAGGGGCCACACCCTCAGCCCTCAAAGAGTGTGCCAGGTGCCCTGGGCACCCCAGCAAACTCATAGGGCAGCAAGTTGTCATGAACATTTGGGGGAAAATGAGGATACTTAACATTTGTTGGCATACTGTACACATTACCAGCTTGAACACTTTATGGTCTTACTATTAGGTCATGTGACATTGCTTTCAATGGTATCATATCTTTAAGAAGCTGGGTTTTCATTAGTTGAGAAAAATAAAGACTGGTACAGTGTGAACATAATAGCTGAAGACACCCAACAGGTAACAAGAGAGGAAGGGCTGTTTCTAATTCCAAGGTTTGGGAAATTGTACACTACCTGACAGGTATCCATAGACCATTAGGAATTAGCTGTGACTATTTAAGAATGAAAATATTGGGCGGTGCCTGTGGCCCAGTGAGTATGGGAGTTTCGGACCCAGCCCCAGCCAAACTGAAAAAAAAAAAAAAAAGAATGAAAATATTTTTCTTTTGACTTATGTGAATTATTTTTTCAAATGGCTACTTACGACAGAAATACTAAGTTGAGACCTAATTACTTAAATCAGTAGAACCATTAGTTGTTTTTTTTTTTTTTTGACCCAGGGTCTATGGAAGAATTATTAAATTAAATGCCCTGTAAACTGAGTGAGACCTTGTGGGAAGCTCTACGTCAGGCCACAGATTTCCATTCTGATGAATGAAGAGCAGCCTGGAGGACATTTGGGAGCAAAGGCCCACTGAGCTTAGCAGTAGGGAGGCTAGTGAGGTGCTGCTGATGAGCTGGGGTTTAAGAGAAGTTTGGGTGGTACAATGGATGGGATTTGATGAGTGATAGGAGAGTATGGAGAAAAGACTTCAGGTTGCTTCCTGGGTTCCTGCTCTGGGTAATAAAGCTGTTGTGGTCCCTTAATGGGAGGCTATAGAAAAGGGAGGGACAAGGTTCAAGGTGCAGGCTACAATGAACTCATTTTGAGACTGGCTTCATTTGAGATGCCTCTAGGTGAGCCAAGTGGCACATGCACAGTTAGGTTTGGTGCACAGCAGAAAGGCTAGATTGGAGACGGATTTGAGAACCAGCCACTAGGAGGTAATGCAAGCCAGAGATATGGCTGAAGTTTCTTCTCTCCCAGCCCCAGTGTAGAAAGACTGAAAGTGTGTTTGTGTCTGTCTATCTGTCCATCTCCCTAATGGGGAGACAGGGCAGCAGCATCATTTAAAGAGGGGGAAAGGAGGGGCGGCGCCTGTGGCTCAAAGGAGTAGGGCACTGGCTCCATATGCTGGAGGTGGTGGGTTCAAACCCAGCCCTGGCCAAAAAACTGCAAAAAAAAAAGAGGGGGAAAGGAGACTGAAGGAATTATCAGAGTGTTTGGAAGGCACCAATGGTGTGTGGTGGGATCCTAGAAGGTCAGGAGGAAAGGAGTGAGCAGAAAGGAATAGTCCACAGTATTAACAGGCTGCAGAGTGATGTGATCTGCTGCCTCCTGGTTTTCAATAGTCTTTTTTTTTTTTTTGAGACAGATTTTTACTATGTCACCCTCAGTAGAGTGCTGTGGCATCACAGATCACAACAACCACAAACTCTAGGGCTTAGGAGGCTGAGGCAAGAGAATCACTTGAGCCCAGGCATCTGAGATTGCTATGAGCTATGATGCCATGGCACTGTACTGGGAACAACAAAGTGAGACTCTATCTCAAAAAAAAGAATCTATACTTGATGGCTGGATGTGACAAGGTCTCAGAGGAGCCAGAAGGGAAAGGGTGAGATGCAGGGGTGAGTCCTGGCTATGGAAGAAGGAAATACAAGGATGGACAAATAGAGAATATTGTTCGTAGAAGCAGGAAGGAAGCTAGGGGAGTTCACTGCAGATTGCCTCTGTTCCCAATGAGTCTGGAAATAAGGTCATGAAGTTTGTCCAGACCTCAAGCTGTAGAATGGGCAGGGCAGCCACTGAGTAGAAATGAGGCAGGAGTTCAGGCCACACAGGCCACGTTTCTCCTAGGCATAATACTGCTGTGCTCCTCTAGTGCTGAAAATCAGGAGTTTCTGTGCACCATAATAAATAATATTAAATATAATACAATATAGTAGTACAATTAACATAGTATAATTAATACTATATAATAAGTTTTACTGTATTATAATTTTCATTGCTTTTTCGTGTTTTAACCAAATAACTGCAGTATCAAATGAAATGTCTACTTTTCTTAACTGATTGTTCTCTTCATTTTCAGTTAGAAATCCTATGTTCTGTCAACATTCTCCAGTTTATATTCATTGCCTTAAGATTGGACAAGATCATCCACTGGCCCTGGCTTGTATGTAACTTTTTAATCCTTAAATAAACTTTTCTTTTTTATTATAAAAGTAATTTGTGTTCATTATAGAAAACTTGGAAAAGACAGACAGTCGTAAGTAATAGACTAATAATCACCCAGAGTCTCGCCATTGGAAAGATAACATGGTTAGTAATGTTTTCTATCTCCTTATTTTATACAAATAGTTGAGATCCTGCTGTACATATAATTATTCATCCTGTTTTATTTTGTTTAATACTGTGTTATAAGCATTTTTCTATGTTAATATGTCTTTATAAACATCTTTTAAAGTTTAATTGAGGTCAGTACCTGTGGCTCAAGGAGTAGGGCGCCAGCCCCATATACCAGAGATGGCAGGTTCAAACCTGGCCCCAGCCAAAAAAAACTGCAATAAAGTTTAATTGATGCTAAATATTCTTCCAGTGTATTAATCAAACCATCTTCTGATTTCTAAAACAGAATATTTAGTTGTAGCCAGTATTTTGTGATTTTAAATGATGCTGCACTATGTATTTCTGTGCATAAAAATTATTGCCTTAGGCTCAGCACCCGTAGCACAGTGGTTACAGTACCAGCCACATACACCAAGGGTGGCAGGTTCAAACCCAGCCCAGCCAGCTAAAATCAACAATGTCAACCACAACAAAAAAATAGCCAGGCATTGTGGCAGGTCCCTGTAGTTCCAGCTACTTGGGAGGCTTAGGCAAGAGAATCACTTAACCCAAGAGTTTGAGGTTACTGTGAGTTGTGACACCATGGCACTCTACCAAGGGTGACGTAATGAGATTGTCTCAAAAAACAAAAGTCTTTGCCATATATTTTATTATTTTCTTAGGAAATACTTCAGAAACCGTATTACTGGGCTAGAGGGTGGGACATTTTGAGATTCTTAAGTACATATACTTCATTGCCAACTCATTTTTTCAAAATGCTATACCTGTTTGCATACTGGCTAGGAATGGAATCCTAAGTTAAGCTTCTGAACTGTGTCTTCAGTTAATGGGTGCTTGGTTAAATTAACTATGGTAGAAGGATGGATAGAGAGAAGGATAGGGAGAGAGGTAAGTGGTAAGCTATAAACTGAAGTATACAGTATGATTTCAACTATTAAGTAGATAGAAAAAAGACGGAGAATAAAGGCAGAAAAGTTCCCTTGCCTCTGGGAGGTGAGGTCAAGCTGCTGTTTTTGTTTTTATCTTCTTTGCTTCTTGATGTATATTTTTGCACACAAGATATTTTCTGCATTAAACATATTTTACCATATTTTGCCGTGTATAATGTGCACTTATTTGCCCAAATTTTGGAGGTAAAAGTAAGGATGCACACTATACATGGGTAGTACAGCTTGGGAGGCGGTGAACCCAGCAGGCCTCTCAAGACCACTGTGCCCTCCCACTTGAGCTTACCAGGCACATGGGGTTCCAGTGGGAGTAGGCCAAGTGGCCTCCACCAAGCACTGTGACCAGGAGAGGTGACAATGAGGAGGCTGGTAAGGCAGGCCATGGTTGTGCAGGACAGAGAAGGGCCAAGGCCTAAGGCCCAGCTGTGCAGAGGGTACCAGAAGCCCTACATAGGCCCAAGGGACTTGCCTCACTGCCTGTGGGATAAACAGCCTCATAAGCTCCCTCCCCACCAACCACATACATGGCCATTTCGGCCTCAGCCCCCAACCTGGCAGGGAGGGAAGAACTCCCAGGAGAAAGAAGGGACACCCTTCATAGAGCAGGCTGCAGCAAGAGGGTACCATTAATATGAGAAATGAAAGAAATTATAAATTTGAACCGTTCCAAAATTAAAATGAAGTGAACCAAAAGATAAGCCATGGATTGGGACAAAATACTTGCAAGGCACATATCAAAACATTGAGTAGGGCAGTGCCCGTAGCTCAGTAGGTGCGGCAGTAGCCTCATACACCAAGGCTGGTGAGTTTGAACCCAGCCCAGGCCAGCTAAAAAAACAATGACGACTGCAACAAAAAATATGTCAGGGTGTTGTGGTGGGTGCCTGTAGTCCCGGCTACTTGGGAGGCAGAGGCAGGAGAATTGCTTGAGCCCAAGACTTTGAGGTTGCTGTGAGCTGTGATGCTGTGGCACTCTATCCAGGGTGACAATGTGAGACTCTGTCTCAAAACAAAACAAAACAAAACAAAAAAAATTGACTAGGACAAATGACTCTTAAAAATTCAAAAATAAGAAAACAAACACCTAATTTAAAAATTGACAATAGACAGTCCACAAAGAGGATATACAGATGGAAGATGAGCACAGGAAAAGATGCTCAACATCATTATCCATTAGGGACAGGCAAACTAAAACCAGGAGGGGTTCCCCGACCTATTTATCAGAAGGGCGGGACTCAAACACACTGGCACAGCCAGGTATGTGAGGAAAAGTGGGGAGGGGAAGTAGGATGCTCCTCCCTTCCTGGCAGGAAGGCAGAATGGCACTGGTAATCTGCAAAACAGGTTGGCCATTTCTGATACAATTTAAGGTGTACTTACCATGTGACCCAGAAGCCACTCTCCTGAGCATTTACCCCAGAGAAGGGAAAACAGCCAGTTGCTTAGGAACCCACATTCCAGTGTTTTGAGCAACCACACTGAGGATAGCCAAAAGCTGGAAGCCACCTTCAGTGGACGGATGGGGCCACAAACCCTAGTCATCCATGGAATGCCACTCAGAAATGAAAGGGAACAACCTGTGGACACAGGGAGAAACCTGGTTGAATCTGGGGAGACATATCCTGATTGCCAGCAGCCAGTCTCAAAAGGTTACAACATGCTGTGATTCCATCTATGCAGTGTGCTCCCAAGGACAAAAGTATAGTGACAGCACAGATCAGGGGTTGTCAGGGGATTACTGTGGGGGTGACAGTGTGACCATGAAGGGTAGCACAAGGGATTTTATTTATTTTTATTTTTTATTTCTTTTGAGACAGAGTCTCACTTTATTGCCCGTGGTACAGTGCTGTGGCATCATAGCTCACAACAACCTCAAACTCCTGGGCAGAAGCAATTCTCTAGCCTCAGCCTCCCGAGTAGATGAGACTACAGGTGCCCATCACAACACCTCCCTATTTTTAGAGACGAGGTCTCGGTCTTGCTCAGGCTGGTCTTGAGACCATGAGCTCAGTCAGTCCCCCCCTTGGCCTCCCACAGTGCTAGGATTACAGACATGAGCCACTGCACCTGGCCTAACGCAAGGGATTTTACGGGGTGGGAGATCTCTTCTGTGTCCTGCCTGTGGCTGTGTGGATCTACGTGTGGATTACAACTCTTAGAAGTGTACACCAAGGAACACAGTCACTTTTACTGTGTGCTAGTTAGTCAAAACAGGAGAAACGAGAAGTCTTGGGGAGCAGGACAGGAAAGAAAGATGACACAAAGGAGCCTGGCTGGGTAACAGCGCCAGGGCTTATCCTCTGGGCTTGCGAGCAGGTGAGACAAAGTCTTTCTGGTAGGACAGCAACATACTCGAATGCATGTGGGGTGGGGCGGGTCAGGACAACATGCCTGCCCAGCCTCAGTCTGCCAAGGTCACAACATGGTGGGGGTCCCAAGACACCCAGACGGCTAAAGTTCCCGGGGAACCCATTCCCAAATGTGTCGCCAAAGCACCTACAGCAGGTTGTGGAAATGTCCCCTGAGAAGAGAGTATGGTGGGCTGTGATGCCAGCGGAGCCAGGCAGAGCCCCAGTGAGTGTAGGAGGGAGGGAGGAAGGGAAGGGAGGAGGACTTCAAGGGGGAGCAGAGGCCTCTGCTGATGCAAGGCTGTCCCAGGAGGAAGAGGCGCTGACTGACAGAGGAACCTTGGTTTCCCCAGCAGCACGCCCGCCCGCCCGCCCGCCCGCAGAGAGCCCCATCCCTTCTCTTTCACACACCGTCATCACAGCAGGCCTAGGAGGGGGCTGTCCTCATGGAGGCTGGCGCTGTCTCACCTAGAGAGACCCAGAAAGGTGTGGAGCACGCCTTCTCCGGGAAGCTGGGTGGGAGCGCTAAGGACACGTCTTCTCTCCGCCCTGCCTCAGGTTGTGTGTGTGCCCCTGTGGATTCTCATGTCCTTCCTGTGCCTGGTGGTCCTCTACTACATCGTGTGGTCTGTCCTGTTCTTGCGCTCCATGGACGTCATTGCAGAGCAGCG